TATATATATATATATATATATATATATATATATATATATATATATATATATATATATATATATATATGTATATATATATATATATATGTATATATATAATGATGTCCTTGGATCTATGCAATGGGAATCAAATCGTAGTGAGATCACGATAATGAGACCGATTTGCCTTTAAACATAGATCCTAAATAATCCCGATCATAGGTTACTCGAGAGGGGCATCGAGATAACCGGACAGACTAGTGTACTATATACTCGTCCATATGATGGATGCAACTGGTCTCATGGTTGCTCGTGTGGGGACACTAGGGATGCAGTACATGTGCTCATTGGAGAATGAGTTCACCGATTGATCCTCTTATGGAATGCTGAATGGTTTATAATGCCTTATTGTCAAACATCGATTCCGTAGTCCTAGCGATGTATCTGGTCCTTAGATTTGAGACACCAAGGATATCCTGTATGAGTACTTCACTCTTTGATACTGGACTTATAGATCTAGAGGTTCCATATCTAGCACAATCGGCCATCGGGAGTGGTAGCCAACCTTACAAGGACTATTGAGTGTCGATAAAGGATCATCCACTCTCGGTGTCATGAGAGGAATATCCCATGTATTCTTGCTCAAACAAATCTCTGGCCAAGGTCATTTGGATTGAGAGAAAAAAAGTTCTCTAAGAGAATTCGATTAGAGCGAGACTCAAGTAGAAACCGTATGGGTCTGACAGTACCATGCCCGGTATACGGTCTCTAGGATATTAAATAGATGAGGGATTATAGGTACATGATAACTGAGGATAGACAAGTCCAATGGATTGGATTCCCCTGTATCATATGGGGACTACTGCGTAGTGGCCTAGTACGTCTGCAATCGATGAGTCGAGTGAAATATTTTGGAGATAATAATTCATTGAGTCAGAAGGAGTTCTGATAGGTATGACTCACGGGCAACTCGATATTGGGCTTAGAGGGTCACATACATATAGTAGGTATTGCGATGAGTAGAGATTCGGATATGAGATATCCGCCGGAGCCCCATCTTATTGAATATCTAATAAGCCCTTGAATTATTGGATTCTATAGATGAGATCCAATAAGAACCAATAAGAGATTATTGGATAAAGATCCACTAATCTAAGAGGCTTAGGTGGTTGAATGGAGATCCAATACCCAATAAGGCTGGATCCATTAGGGTTAAGTTGACAATGAACCTCTATAAATATGAGGGAACTAATGGTTCATAGGCGAGAGCTCTTTGGTTACCTCTCATATTCTCCTCCCTCTCTCCTCCTCAGAGTAGGCCTGGAGTTTTGAGGAGCGTCATCTCAGCCTGCTGTGTGGATCACCGTTAGAGTGGAGAGCGCTTGACCTCCTTCACCCTCTCCTAGAGATCTATATGGATTCAAGGATATACGATCTCCCTATGTAACAAAATCCTTAATTTATGCAGTTTTAGGTTTCACAATTTTTGCGCACCAATCTTCGCACGACGATGAACACATCTTTGCGAATTTGAGATTTTATTTTTTTATGTTCTTCCGTTGTGCATGAGATGTCGCCCCCTAGATTTTCCAACACCACGAAAGGCGAGTAATACAGTTGCTTCACCAGGCCTGGGTTGAGCGTGCCTTAGGAAAACTCTAAGGCTGCTGACCCATCGGCCCAAATCATACTCGTCGTCTTCAGGGTCAGCTAGCGCGATTCGTAGGGTGCCCCCGATTCCCCCTCCGGCAGGTCGGCCATGCTGAGAGCTTGAAAAGGCTCGCCCTTGGAATGAGCCCGGATGTGGCACAAATCTTGCATCGACTTAGGCCGCATCGCCTTTTTGTTGGAAGGGTCATCACCAGAAGACCCTGCATGTCCTTTTCCCTGGGCACTCATCGAACCCTCGCCTTGCGAAGTTCCTCGAGAAGTGTTGCCTGACTCACACATCTCCCGAGCTACGACCTCTCTAGTTGCCATACCCTCGGACACCTTCTGAGTTCCGATCTTCGGTTTCTTTTTTGGCCGACTTGCCTCGGCCTCTTTAGGGGATCCCTTAGGGCGCATCATCGCGTTCTTCCTCGTAGGAACCTCGGGTGTAGGCCTGTCGAACTCCTGAGTTGAGGGTCAAGTTGGTGGTACCACTACCGAGGGGTGAGACAATCCCTTCATTGACTTCGGCTACACCATCTCTGCAAGGCACAACTAGGTCAGCAACATGTGAAAAGTAAAGGAAAAAACTTAAGAACAAAGTTCGTCCATACCCCGAGGGGCCGGGCTGAGTCTCACTTTGACTAGCCACTCCTCGAACATGCCCCTAATCGCCCAAGAAGAAGACAGGATCTCTCTTAGACGCCCTACGTGCTCGGTCTCATTGAGAGATAGAAAAGGGGGAACATTGTTGCTGGCTCAGGAAGTCCACTCAACACTGAACCCCCATCCCTAGTTGCAACTCACAAAGAAGTGGCGTACCTTCCACCCTTTGTTGTTGAAGGGTGCACCACTGACCTTGAAACCGCCTCGGGCAACTAGGTAGCAGCCGCCCCGCCCCTTGCACAAACAAAAACACGTCAGGAAAAGCATTTGGGTCGGGTCAATCCCCGTGCTTCGGTATTCTCTGAGAAAAACTGCCAAGTAGTGCCATGAGTTGGGCGCCATCTAAGACGGTGAAATCCCCCACCATTTGATATAGTCCTCGATGATTAAGTGCAACATAAACCTAAGGCCTGCCTCGAGAGCGTCTATGGTCAGCTCGAACCCGTCAAGAAATGGGTCGTAAGAGCGCTACCCGAGCCGTGGAGCATGAAGCTCGTAATCTTTCGGGATGCTATAATGATCCTGAATTAGGCCTAGAAACTCCTCGGTCACGATCGAGTTGATATCATGTGATGACCTCATGACTTGCAGAGCCTGAAGCGCCTTCATGTCCGTTGAGGGCACACCACCCGAAGACGAACTAACAACCTATACCCTAGAACTTCCCGAGGTTGATGCAATGACCTCGGGTAAGGACCGACTCATGGAGGAAGATGATGAAGAAGAAGACATCCCGACCTTGGACCTAACGACTGAGAAAGGCAATGACCGAGGTGCAAAATGGGGATGGACAAGTGAGCAATTAGCTCTATCATTCAGCAAGGGGTTTACAAGGAGAGAACCCACCGCCATAAGTGACGTTTTGCCTTCCCAAGGTGAAAAGTTGGTCAGCATTTAATCATGGCATACCCTGCCAGATTTGCTAACCTCCACTATCTAAAAATTCCATCGAAGCCCACGACACTTGCCGCCAAAACCCTCCCACCAAATTTCGACCTTTATCGCCCAAAATCCCAACCCTTATTGTCAGAAGGATGCTTCCAAAAACCCCGCTTTAGATTGGATTTCCACGGTTGATGGCTTCACCTAACAGGTCCAATCTTTGCCCAAGTTGTGTCTCTGACTAGTCACCACTCAAGCCACGTCTCAACAAACTAGTCCAACCTATGCCCAAGTTGGGTATCTCAGCCAACAGGTCCAATCTTTGCCCGAGTTGTATATCTCGGCCAACCAGTCCAACTTGTGCCTGAGTTGGGTATCTCAGCTAACAGGTTCAATCTTTGCCTGAGTTGTGTATCTTGGCCAATCACCGCTCAAGCCACGTCTCGACAAACCAATCAAACTTGTGCCCGAGTTGGGTATCTCGACCAACAGGTCCAATCTTTGCCCGAGTTGTGTATCTCGGTCAATCATCACTCGAGCCACGTCAAGGCAAAACAGTTAAACCTGTGCCGGAGTTGGGTATCTCGGCTAACAATTCCAATCTTTGCCCGAGTTGTGTGTGTCGGCCAGTTATCGCTCGAGCCACGTCTCGGCATACTAGTCTAACATGTGCTCGAGTTGGGTATCTCGGCTAGTCACCGCTCGAGCCACATCTCGACAAATAAGTCCAACCTGTGTTTGAGTTGGGTATCTTGGCCAATAGGTCCAATATTTGCCCAAGTTGTGTATCTCAGCCAGTCACAGCTTAAGCCACGTCTCAACAAACTAGTCAAACTTGTGCTCGGGTTAGGTATATTGGCCAACGGGTCCAATCTTTGCCCAAGTTGTGTATCTCGACCAGTTATCACTCGAGACAGATCTCGGCAAAACAGTCCAACCTATGCTTAAGTTGGATATCTCGACCAACAGGTCCAATCTTTGCCCAAGTTGTGTATCTCGACCAGTCACTGATCGAGCCACATCTCGG